ACTAGAGCCATACACAGCCTGCCTGTTGAGAAAGTCCTGGGGATGGGGCTGCTGCATGGATGAACTAATGAAATTTCATCAGTTAGGAAAGAATATATACATACATATATATATATATATATATATATATATATATACACACACATATATAAAGTCCAAATGACCGTATCCATCTCATATTGGTGCCATTCTGCAAATATCAAATTTTACTTCTCGTCTTTCATAAGAGAAGCATATAAAAATCTTGAGGAGATTTTCAGACAAGACATCACTAAAACACACACATCAAAATAACAAGAAAGAATAACAAAAGGATACAATAAGTTGAATTGCTCTGACAATTTTTAAAAGCAATTCTGCTTTAATAAGACTATTGAGAAGATGATTTTAAAGTACCATGGAGCACCATGGTCTTTCCTTCTGTGTGCTTTGCACTCCTCAGATAATGACACTTTCCTCACTCATCTGGCTTCTAGTCTTTATTGTCCAACATTAAAAGTAAAAAAAAAAAAAAAACCAAAAAAAAACCCCAAAAAAACCCACAAACGCCCCCACACCCCCCCCAACACCTAGATAAAAAGCCAGACATAAAGTATAGATAATGTCAGACAAAATAAAAAATGAGATGAAGAGGAAATTTATGTGTGTGAAGCAAATCTAGCTTTCAATATGACAATTAAAAGTTTTGACTCAGAAGAGGGTGATGCAAATATAGGTTTAATAGATTTAATCACTGCTGAGAAAGGGTGTGGAGCATCACTCTTTCCTCTTGATGGTATCATCATCCTCTCCAGTCCTGAGCTCTTGTGCTGATTTCAGCCCTTCAGCCTTTGACTCTCACTTGACCAGAAGCCATCAGTTTTCCATCAGCGCAAGCCAAAGTTGTGTAGGTTCCTAATGCTGTTTCCAGCAGAGAATCATCATAGGCTGCCACATTTTCAGTGGCTCTGAAAAATCCTGCAAGTTAACATTTAGCTGCCTCAAGATATTTTACAGCTAGGGACCCATATTCAATGAGGTACAGAGAGTACCCATTTAGTATTCCCCCCTCCTCTCACTCTATGCACAATTTAAACCTTGGGTAGCAGAAAAGAAGCTGTTCTATGGATTCAAGGCACATCATACAGAGCTTTCTTTCTCAACAGCAACACAGATGCACCACAACTTAATCCCATTCATCACATTAGGTAAACAGGCAGCTGTTCATGTGGAGAAAATTCAGTAGCAGGACACTCAATATCTCAACTAAAGTTTCCTATGCTTCTAATAATCTGGAAAGAAGGTGAATAATGATGCAGTAGGATTTCAGATTTCACAGAATTTTTTAGGTTAGTTGAGGGACAAGAAATCTTAGGGACTTGGAAAGAGAATAAATGCTGCTGGGTGAGCACACAGTGTAGCAGCCTATGGATCCTACTGATAGCAAAAGATAAACTAACAATTCCTGTTGGATATAAATTTCAATGCACACATCCCAGGTACAAGGTATCATTGGAGAGAAAAAAAATGATCCCATCTCTGAGTTTATGACACAATGCAAGCAGTATAGGAGTTCATTCACACCCTAGCAGAAGAATAAAATGTAGTGGTTACTTAACACAAACAGAAACATAACACATTTAAAACTAACAGGAATAAATAATAATTTCTGAAAGTAATGCAACTGTCGCCTGGAATTTGGTGTAGTCAAGATGCATTTAAACCCATGACTTGATATGGTCTTTTAAATGCCTGATTATTTCCAGATACCTGAATGTCACATCAAAGAGCTGAGCTGCACTGCTCCCCTCTCTGCAGGGAAACCAGCATCAAAATCTGCCCAAGTGCTCAGCACACCTCTGTCACCACACCATAATGATGGTAATTATCAATAATAACAATAATGTGGGTGTAAATCTGCTCTGGCAGCTGGGGCTGATGAATGCTGCATCCAACACCAGCCCTTTGGAAGCTGCCTCAGCCCCTGGCACCACAAAGGGGAGAGAGAGCCTGCATTTGGAGTCACAGAGGGGTCAGCTGGCCACTCCTTGGACACACTCTGGCAACTTGTTGGCAGCTGTGAACTTTCTGCAAGAACCCAGAAAGCTCAATATCCTCTGCAACTCAGATCAGCTGACAAGATTCTCTTGCATTCCTCCATCAGCCCTCTCTTTCTTGCTCATAAACACATGACACAATGTAAACCCACTGCTGCTTGTCCCTAAAGTGCTCAGAGATAAGGAGACAACCTCCACCTGCTCTCAGAAGCTCCCTCATGTGTAAGATACCTGATGCCCTATCAATATTTTTATAAAAATACCAGTATTTTTAATTAATCAAGCATTTCTTCATTGAGATGAAACACTGTGTGCATTTCTCATTTACTCTCCCCAATACATGCTTATTAATTAGCAGACTAATTTGCTTAGTTCTTTAGGAACAGGATGCCAGGGAAAATGTTCTCAGTTGTCAAATGCAACTCATCGATTACTGTAAGACACTTAAGACTAATTGATAAATATATCCAAGCCCTGATTAATTGGTGAAAAATCCATCATGCTGCATCCTGCTCTCCTTTCCTTTATAATAAGATTCTTGAACTAATTTACAACTTGATTTTCCCTTCTTTTAATTAAGAAAACCACCAAAACCCAGAAGTATTTGTGGGGAGTGTCTGTTCAATTTTCTGGTTATGCTTGAAGTGAAATCTACTTCATTTACCTTATTAGCCAAAAGTAAGGAAATGAGCCTACTCTGAAATTAGTTACTCTGTCAGCTGGAATTTATCTTTGGGGCTGAGAGAGCTGATGTGGAAACTTGAAAGTAATTTCTTCACTCTTCTATTTGTTATATGTATTTTTTAAGGTTCTTTTCTGATTACATAAATTAAAAATGACTCCTGCAAATCTGGAAGAGATGTGCTGCATATGCTTCTCAGTACAGCACATGGAAGCCTTTGAAACAGCCCAGTGTACAATTATGTAGACTGTATGGAATGAATAAGGTAAAATATACAGAGTAAAAGTGACTAAACATTAACAGTGATGTTTCTAGGCAGTAACACTCTCCCTGCTCAGTCCATGGCCATGCACTCCGTTATTCTCACAAGAATTCTGGTGATATAAGAACATTTTCCCTCTCCTTACTTCCACAATTTGTAGCTTAAATAGTATTAAAAAAATTATTTCACTGGTGTCCTACTGGGATCAGCCCACAAGTTCCTGTGAGGCTCGTTTTTCCCCAAATAGAACTTTTCCTCCTCCTCCCTTCACAAAGCCTGGAGGCAACATGCTTTGTTGCAACACTCCATACTGCCCCAGCAGCCTCCTCATTTCTCAAAGTATTTCCACAAATCTTCCATGAAATTATGATTTTTGCCAAAATATCTACATAATACTCTTTGTCTGTGGAGAAATGTTTGGGCTATCATCAGCCAATTCTGGTTCTCTGGCAAAGAAAGGAGGATAACTACAATGCCTCTTCAAATTAGTGATACTCTCTTGCTGCTAAAAGGGTGGCATGCTTTACACCTTTAAACTACCTTAGGTAATCATTTTCTAGGCAGAACAGAAAATCCATTTCTATTAGTTTCCAAAGACCTTGGAAGTATGTATGTAGGAAGACCATTTCCATAAATTCACCCTTTTAGAGTCACTGGCTAACACAGAATTTATGCAAGTGCAAGTCTGTCACATAATTCAGTATTTACATGCTCCCTTTCAAGCCCCAGGGAGCTGGAGTAAAATGCTAAAAATAAAATACACATGTTGTAATATACGAAAGATTTAGAGATGGAACTATTCTGACAGTTCAAAATAAAAGACCTTTGTGCCTAAGATCTCCATAGCTAGGCCTGTACCTAAATCACATATTGATTTAACTCACTGTAGACAAGCTATATAAGCTTTGGAATGATGTATGCTTGATCAATGTGTTTTAGAAATTAATCTCTGCCAGACTTACTCATTTAGGCAAGTGAAGAAGTCAGATAAATATCCCTACATTTTACTTTATAGGACAGTAAACCAATTTCTAATCAAATTTGTAAGCAAATAGCATTATTTGTTTCCAAGAAATATCAATATTAAAATATCTAAGAAAATCTGAAAACAGATTTCAAAAATTTAAAGTTTTATCTATGAAATACACAGATTATAAAATTGATACAAGAGCATACAAACATTGTGATCAGAGATACAGAGGAGAACAAAATACTCATTTGAAATATCCAGGGATGGAGACTCCTAGCACCACACTGAACAAAGGGATTTGGAGATTTGAAGTCTCAGCCAGACAAAAATTAGATGTATTTGATATCTTACTTCTTTGAAGTGCTAACAGTGATTCCATACCTGAGTGCAGGAGCAATGCCCCACTTCATTGCAAACACACTGACCCTGATATGGGGACATATAAATGTTTACACCTATGCAGGCAGGCTTCTTGGTGCTTTAAAACAGAGCATATTCTTATGTTAGAGACAGGGAAACTGACGCACGGAAAGGCACAATGACCCCCTGAAAGGCACAAGGCAAACTGAGGTACAAATGCCAGGAGTGAAGGTTTTTATTTGAATGCCAAATCTACTAGTGAAAACATTCTTTCTGATGCACGATTTTGCACAAATCCCCTGATTGTAGCAGTGGGAGCTCAAGGATAGATTCTGACTTGGCTTAGAGCTCAGTAGCTCATGAACAATGAACACTCTCCTCAGCTTTTCTGTGAGCTTTTGTGTCCTAGCTCAGTTTTGGGGCAACCCAACCCAAATGTAAAAAGCTGACTTGCTGTCTCAGACTCTCTTGGTGGCCCCAGCAGTAAGAACCCCCCCAGTCTGACATTATTCACAGGTCACTCCTGGCAGTGTCAACACCAGCTCTGCTCCCAGCAGAGAATGAACCTCAGCACAGACCCACGACCAAGTACACATTGACACTCCCCAAGCCACCAGCACAGCAGGTTGCTGCAGCCTCGGGGGACTCCCTGCAAAAGCAAATATTCAAATTAGGAAGGAAGGCACTTACCATACAGGACTGCAATGAGCGACACGGGCATGACCAGGATACCCACCAGCATGTCTGCTACTGCCAGCGACATCAGGAAGAAGTTTGTGGCATTCTGCAACTTCTTCTCCAAGGACACAGCCATAATTACCAGTATGTTCCCCCCAATGGTCAGCAGGATGACAACCAAGATCAGCAGGGCTGGCCAATTCTTCTCCCTCAGGGACATCCGAGAGACTTCAGCCTTCTCAGAGGTGTTAAGAGTATCAGATGTAGGCAAACTCTGGTTCAGAGTCAAATTGCTGCTTAAGGACCAAGCCATCAGACCACCATGCAAACTAAAATCCAGTGTAACCGACACTGTTGTTAAGCTGAGCAATATTCCAGTGCTACTTAAAGTGCTCATTGTCTGGGGCTGGTTTCTCTGTCTCTTAACTGTGCTTCAGAGACGATCCTTTTTCCAAATTCCAGGTCCAAGGCAGATGCCGAACATCACAAAACCTGAGCCAGAAAATAATTTGATCTTCCATAGTGAAGGAGACCTTACAGAAGTTAGTGTGGAGCTCTTCTAGTTTCCTTGGGTGTGGTAGAGGATGACCACTGACCACCAACCTCAAGGGAAAAGAGACTTTTCAATCTCCAGCTGGTTTCCAAGTTCACCATTCTGAAAAGTAAAGGAAAAGGATATTCTTCACTGAAACCACAGTATGCACAACACCTTCTTTATTCCCCACGCAACTGACATCCTTATTCTTCCCCTTCTTGCTGGCTAGGACATTCTCCAGACTGCAAGCAATTTATCTGAAGGATACAGGCTATGCTTAAAATTATGGGGGACAGAAGCAGAGAATCACATCAGTGTGCTCTGGCTGGTTAAAAGCTGATTATCACTAAATTAAACATTTTGTGAAACCTGCAAAAGCAAGTCTGAAGAGCAAAATATGTTTCAATTGATTTCCACTTCACAGATACTCTTGCTGCTCTGTAAAATAGTAATTGCACAAAATTCCAACCAATCCAGATAGCGCAGCCAAGCACAGGGTAATCCATCACCTAAAATGGAAGGGTTTGGATATATTTTACATATTCCGAGGTAAAATGAAGGTGTTGTAAAAACCCTCAGATCTTAATGATTAACTCTCCTACAACAACAAATACTATAGTTCAGTTTCTATTGGGAAATGAATGGTGGATAAGATGCAATATTATTAGGCAACATTGAATGATCCTTCTGGAACAAACAGACAACAAAGAGTTGAGAGAAAAGAAAGGACAAACTTTCATAAAAGCCTAACACTTATTTCTGCTTTTCATCTGTTTTTGTGCCGCTGCTTTCTGCTGATCATGAGCATACAGACAGGCCAGTAAATCTAATCCCAGCAATCTGCTGCTCAGGACTACTGTCCCAACAGCCTCATCCCACGCACAGTAGGGGTAGATTTCCTCACATGTAGCATCTCACATGATTTGTGCTACTTAACAAAGTAGCTGACGGTAAAGGCAAGTCTGATTACCACCCCTGACTGCCTATGTAACACCAGCCAGAGAACATCATGCTGCTTCTTCTGAGGTCCTTCAGCCTCATGCATTGGGCTAATTTGGTAAATTAAATGTACTCTCAACTTCAGGCACGTGCCTGCACCCACTGATGCTAAGGGCATATATTCCCAGTCCTGGTTAAATCATGTCCTCAGCAACTCAGTAATTCTGAATGCCAATCCTGTACAAGTGATGAGAAACAGCAGCTTTGCTTTGCACTTCCACTGCATTGGGGTTAAGCTCCTGACAACCATGTGCAGCACAGGGCTGAAAGCACTTAGTCAAGCAATGGTATGGAAGTGGACCAGTAAGCAGAATAAAATCAATAGCAAGCAACTTCATTTGAGCATATTCTCAACTTTTTGTGCAGCCCACAAGAAAAGAGCTGTTCTGTCACTGTTAGATAAATAACAAAATAAAAGCTGTTAAATGCACTGTGGCACACATCTGACACAGCAATTTGCTATCCAGGTATCAAAAGCTAGATATAATTAATGATATTACATTAGATTTCATTTAAATAGGAAGTTCTCAGTATCCTATAATAAAATGTTTAACATTCATGAAGGTTTTGGAACCTTGTAAATGGGCTTTGTGCTCAAAAATATTTCTTAAATGAGCAGTTCATACAATGAACCCAGATTTGCTTCTGCATTGTAGTTAATTACGCCCAGAGGGTCTCTAAACCTTATATTTAGGAAGAAGTGTTGCATGGCACAGAAAATAATTTTGCAGCTGCACATGCAGGTGAATGAACAAGTGGTCACTGGACCATTATTTTTCCCCAACTTAGTCTCAAAAACAAAAGAAAAGGTCTCTAGGAAGTTTCTAAATAACTTCAGATATTTTTCCCAAAACAAAGCTTTTAATTCAAAGCTGTGATGACAATTTTTCCAAATCACCTTTCCACATTGAAGGAGACACTGGGCAGCCAAAGGATCATAGACAGGACATGACTTAACTCTAGATCATGAAAAAAACCGAACAACCCCCAGACAAAACCACTCCACAAAAAGCAACTCCAAGATAAGGCTTCTGAATTAAAAGTGTCTATTTTTATAACTGCTTAGGTTTGTATACTGAAATTGTGAGTAGATTCATTCTCTCCTGCATTTTACATATTCAGTTTGAAAAATCATATAGGAAGTTGATTACTTGAATGCTCAAGACTGGACTCCGCCTTCAGAATTAGCTTCTTTGCTAATACTCTTGTTACTATTTTACACAGATCCTGACTTAAGTCATCAGTTTTCCCTTTTACTGCATCACTTAGTCTCCTTAAGGTAAAACTTTGTGACTAATTCCTTAGCTACAGTCTTCTAAACACACCACTGTACCAGAAAAATAAGTCACAAGTTATTCATGGATTATGCATTTATTTAAGAACCATCTCCATAATTTTAAATTGAAACATAGGCCCATCACAGATTTTTTTTTTCCAATAGCTAACATCAAAGTACACATACTGAATTTTGTGGTCAATCATCAATTCCAGTTCAATTTAATACTGACAGTCCTTAAAATTATAATTGAAACATTCAGCAAAGCCACATTATTTTCTATGCCACTCCTGCTTTTTGAAAAAGTAAATAATGATTACTTTTGGCACATTCTTTCCCTTCACTCTTTAAGTCCAGTTTAAAATAAACTGAAGGTAGAAAAATATTTTTTGTCTATCAAGAAACACATGAATTATTTAAAGCAGAGGTTGGTATGCTGGAGTTTTTGGATATTCCAGAAGGTTAAGTTGGAGGGAAACAGAAGCTGCAATGGTTAATAAGCCTGTACTGGTGGGCCACTGCAGGGGCTCACATGCCTTTGGGAGTATTTACCACCATTACACTTGCTAAAATGAAAAAACCCCAAACCTTTACTGGAATAAGCACTTTTTTTTTTTCCTTTGAATTAAATGCATTTGTCTTTAGTTGTTTTACCCTTCAAAGCTTAGAGCACTTTTTCCTGGAGAGAGACAGCTGCCTGCTGAGAGCTGGAGATGTTCCCTGGCCGCCAGCCAGGATCCTGCCTCTCCTGGCCACACTGCAGAGCTCCTGGGCCCTTGTGAATCACTGAGGGAACCTCTGGATGTTAACAATGTGCATGTGAAATTGGATGAGAAATAAGGATTGTCATCTTAGCCCAAAAAAAGAATCTGAGTTTCAGGCAGACTGAGGAAATACATTAATTCATGGTGAGTCTTGCTGTAAAAAAAAATCCCAGCAGTACTTAATGATCAAAAGTGATGACTTTCAGCAATTCCCATCCCACAAGAAAAACAAAAGCATCCAATGGCATCATGGGTACAAAGGCCATACACAAGAGAGATTTTCTTCTCCCAGATTATTGGCAGTGTCCAGTTCTCCAAGTCACATTCACATCTCCCCAATAACCAGATGAAAGCCAACAAGCTGATAAAGAACAATAAAATAAAAAGTTTTTCCTTCAGCCTTGACCTTGATGGTAAACCTACATCAGGGAAAAAATAAATCTGAAGTCAACTAAATTGAACTGCAAGTACTAGAATTTTTGACAAGAAAACAGTTGCAGATAGGTCACAACTATCTGAGCCAGATAGTCAGATGACATAAATTTTTATAGCTCCATTAAGCCCTTTTCAAAATGGCAAATAATTTAAAATTATATAATAGAATACACAATTTATGCTCAAGAAGGTAGATTTAAGGCTTCCTTCTTCACTCTAAACCCTGCATTTCTTGCTATTTGCATCTTTATTATTTTTTTAATCCTTTGCAAATTTAATTTTCAATTTTTTGGAACAAAAGGTTGCTTTAAAATACAGATTTTCATAGCAAACTTGCGAAGGGCCACTTTCATTTTAGTGATTCAATAAAGTTCTATTTTTATATTAAGAGAATTCTATATTTTGGGCAGTTGGAATTCATCTTTCTCCTTTTTGTAGCAGCACTAGAAAACATCCCTATTTCTATGCAATTCTATTTCTAAACAGTCTGTGAGAATGCTTCAAGTCCAATGGAGATGACCAAGGTGATGTGGGAGGAAGCACATTAAATACTGGGTTTGGTTCAGCCTAGAGAAAAAGCTTTGAATAGGGTTGTATTTGCTGACTGCATCTACCTGCTGGTACTTACAGAGGAAACAGGGAGACTCTTCCACAAGATGGGCAGCAAAACAAGAAGCAATTGTGACAGTGACAGATCTTAGGAAATAGTGTATGAAGTAAGAAAAAAAAGAGATACATCTCAGTGCAGGTAGTCAGATAAGTGGGACACAGAGGCTGTGGGATCTCCATCCTTGCAGAAGCTCAGAACACAGCTGGGATCTACCCCAACCCCCCATCTAACCTAGAAGTCAGTTCTTCCTTGAGAACCTTGAGGTTGGACTGGAAACCTTCAAAAAGTCCATTTCAGATCAAATTATCCTATAAATGGACCAGAATTGTGCTTCTAAGAAAAGCTGTCTGGCATGGGGATGCTTTCGAGCTCCTACCCTTAGATAGACACCCTCTGCTTGTCCCTGCTGCTCAAGCTCAGGATTAGACCAGCACATGCTCTCCCCTTCAGTTTCCCCAAGGCCAGAAATAAAAATCCATGTCCAGGTGGGAAAACAGAGCTGTGAGGGCTCCAGTGTGCTTGGTGTGGGATCCAGGGCCCCAGAGCTACCCCAGCTCATGCCTCATCACACCAGAGAGAGGCACACACCAGAGCCAGCTCCTCACCTTTCCCACCTGCTGAGGCCACGTGTGTCTGAGGATCCTACATTCTCTGAAAAGTGGCAATTTTGGAAAGCCCCAACTCATTCTAGTCACTTGGCAGCATCAGGAAATCTCCTTGTCTTTTGAAAGCAATGCCTCCAGTGCCAACACAGAGGCAGTGTTTTCACAGTCACTGCAGCGGGGAAGGAAAAGTCAGAACCGAATGATTATTCTGGAGATATTCACTGTAAAGTTAACTGAAGTTTCAATCCAGAGAAGTGGTTATGCCTAATTTGACTATTTTCCCGAGCTATTCTTGTACTTAGGAATATATTATTTGCACTTTGTTTAGAGATTTTCTTTCTGAGAAAGAATTTGATACGTCCTCTTCTGTTTTGCAAGAAATTCTGGAATTTTTCCCAATAGGTATTGGAGACAAATCAGTGTAAAAAACA